TGAAATCAAATGTTAGAAGAAAGGAGGTTCGAAAATATATTTGATAGGCTATCAAGATATCGAGAATCGACTGGTCTAGACTGGTTAGCGATTGCAGGAGTTGTCGAGCATGGCGTTCCCACTCGTGATCTGGTACGGATGCATGACCAAGCGCCTTCAGTTAGGTGATTCCATTAAAATTAATGTGGTCAGCATCCAATGTCGAAGACTTACATAGCTATTGATTTTGGGGATTTATTTAACGCTACAATATACAAAACCATTGCACTTTACAAATAAGCTAAGTCATTCTAGTCTACATTAGTTATTTAATCACCGAAAGCTACCTTTAAACAAGCCTATTCATTACTGATATTGGGACTAAGTGAGAAGTTATTACAAAAGCCTCAAAACTTTACAACAATTAATCGATATCTATTTCCAATGAAGTCTAATTAACTAACAAGATAACAGTATGGCAACTCGAACTGATGTACGTACGTACGAATTTCTACGTTGTTACTGACTGACTGACTGACTGCAATAGCTACCAAAATATGTTATTATGCAAACAAGGACGAGGTGGAGGGTGGGACGAGGGAACTTTTATCATAAACATTACAACAATGAAAAACAAAAATGGGAGAATAGGGGAATCATTTTGATGTATGAATGCAATAGTATGAAGTGATTTCAATGTTATCAGAGAATAATTATATTCATCCATAATTAGAGAAAAGAGAATGGAAAAAAGACTACCGAACAACAACATTCACAACAATTATTGTGATGAGTTTGTTGTCATACAAGTAAATAAGTTGATTTATGATGTATGGATTGGGACAGATATTATTTAAATTAGTTGAATTTACCAAGAATTGTGTGAATATGAAATATCTGTGAGAAGTGAAGTTTAATGAATGAGCTCAGTAATACCAATGATTGGACGTTTAATGTTCTTATAAATTAAATAGTGGAATGGAATGTAGTTAATGGTGTGCTTAGTTATCATTCACAGCATACGTGGTCGTACTTTATAAAATACAGCTTGTTTGTGTCAAAGATGATCTCCCTACTGAATCTTTTACTGGATTAGGTAACATTCAGTTGAAACCTTTCCTGGTACTGATAGTAAAATGATGCCACTGTAGTTTTCACATTTACTCAGATCTCCTTTCTTTTGTATCTTGATGAGGTATCACTCTTTTCAGCTAGTTGGCACCTGTTCTTTCTTCTGAATTTTCCTGAATAGAAAGTGAAGCATATTTGCAGTTGCTTCTATGTGTAACTTCATTGCTTCAGCTGGTATGTTGTCTGGTCCATTTCACTCACTTAATTACCGTTAGAATTTTATTATTGAATAACTGCAAATATCATGCAACAATCGCCCATTGTGTACATTAGTACAAAGGGGCACTGAATACATATGCTCCACACAAGTCACTTCATACGTCTGTGAGCCATGATATTGAGCGGGTGCCCAAACCGAGATAGGTGGATTTCTTACGGCACCCCATCCAGAGCTTTCGTCCTAAAGGTCTGATTCACAAGGCGGTGGAGCAACGTTAAGAGATACAGTTCTATGGTAGCCGAGGCCAATAATTGGTTCAAATACCATTTGTTTTCTCAGGTTATCAGAGCACATGTTCACCATTGGTTTGGGAACATCGTTTTCCAACTCCCCAAAGTGGACTCTCCGTGTCCACCAACCCGATTAAAGCAATGGACATTTGCTTTTCGTGTTCTCATTTTCGTAGATAACACCCGGCCACGAGAAGACAGTGAGTGGGACTTCTCTGGTAGTGGCTGTATACTCGTGGCCATGTGAGAGCACTTCGATTGGAAGAGAGGACCCTCCCCACCCTCGGCTGTCACGAAACTTAATTGTTATACACTTGTATCTTAACAAAATACTAGTCAGCATAGTAATGATTTTCTGCATATTTGATCGTCCATAGAAATCACATTCATAAATATTCTTAAGCATCGAGAAAATTTTAACGCTAAACGATTAGTTAAGAGATAATTCACACTAATTAACAGATTACATTTTAGAGTACGTTAGGAAGTTGAATCCATGAAATAAGTCGACAAGATTTGTAAGGAAATCAAGTGTAAAAATTTCCAAATTTTTAAAACAGTCTCTTTAATAAATTTGCATGATGTGATGGAAAGATCAAGATTAAATAAACTTATGCGATATGTTAGCTCGACCATCTTCTACTGCCTTCAGTAAGTTACGGCCTCACACCCGACATGTATTAGATCTACCGATTACGCCTTCTCGTTAGAATTCCGAGAATTACCCCTCGAAGCTATTCACTAGTGAGTACACGATAACTATATGTGGTTGTGGAGATTGTTGAGTTTTAATTGAGACCGCGCAATATCGTGGATTGGTTGAAGTTGGGTATTAATACCACTGGACGTCTGTTCAGTGGTCTAGAGGTTAGTCGTTCACGCGGGTGACTAGAGGTCCTGGTTTCAAACCCTATGTGAGGAATTGTGGATGTGAACTGCTGAGAAGTTCCATACTAGAACGAAACGATAGTCCAGTACTTCCAGATTTCCAATGGTGGTCTAACATGATTTTAATCAAAATAATTAGTTACCACCAGGCGATCAGTTTTCACACTCTTCAATGATCTACTCATTTGGTAGTTATTGTAAGTGTTATATTTCATGATTTGTATATTACTATATTCATGATAATTGTACGACCTAAAATGATCATCAAAATGTATGATTGATTTGCTTAAAATCCAAATGCTGTCAACGGAATAACATAGACGAATCTATTATTATTTTTTTGTTGTTTCGAACTACAATTCTGTAGACTAATTACAATTGTCTGACTACTGGATAGTATAACTAAAAATGGTCCGATTCTATTTTTAGTAGATACCCGTCAGCAGACATTTGTAGGATATTCGAATTTGTATCTCTTAGATAATTCTGTTTTAAACCATTTATACTATTATCCTTAGCAAGGATAATTATTATAAGCAGAGATAGATGAAGGTTATTAGTGGAATCTGAGACTTGTCAGTTGGCTGAAGCTGTATCTCAAAGTCAATGTTCACTTAGACACCCGAATCCAGTAATGTTTACTTTGGACGCCATTGCGTTATCCACTTAGCTATTGAGTTCAATAAGTCACTATCTTGTAAAATGATTTGAAGTTTTAAATCATTTTTATATTCGTTGCAATTCTAATCATCAATGAGAAGATTTAAACGATAATTCTGGGTTCGAATCCCGCGAGAGGGATCGTGGTTGCGCACTGCTGAGGAGTCCCAACGTAGGACGAAACGGCCATCCAGTGCTTCCAGGTTTTCAATGATGGTCTAACATCAATCGGTCCATGATCTCAATCAAAACTTAACAATCTCCACAACCCCTATACTGATAATTAGAATCACTTAGTTTAGTTCTCACGATGTTTAGATTATGATTGATTATCAAGATACAAATGAATGACTTGGTTATCTTTCATGTATTTACTTCTTGAAGGTACCTTTATATTTTCCAATTCTCTTACATAAATTACATTCAATATTATATCCTTGTTCTTACTTCAGTATTCTAAAAGCTAATTGATAATCTGTTTGATATCATAATGTTTACTACATTTTGTATTTGCAGTAATTCTGTGTAATGTTCTGTGAAGAAAAAATAGCATAGAATTGCATTTGATCTACATCCTTGATATATGCTTATATACCTGTATCATCACATCATTATCAAATGAGTCACTATTATCTACATGACAGTTTGTTAATATTAAATGTGGATGATGATTAAACTTGTAGTGTCGGTTATTATATTAAGTCCATATACATTTCTTATCCCATTACTCATCACATGTCTGTAACTTACTTTTGTGTAACTATAAATATTGATTAACGCTTGGTTAAATGAGAGTTGGCTTACCCGCCATCTCCACCACATGTCGTTTTGCTTTGTTCTATTCCGTTCGCTTTATGTACAAAATATGATGTATTCAAAAGTCCATTCTAGTTATTTGACTTATCTAAATCCGTTATTGACTAACGCAATTTAAGTCGATGATTATATACGAGGATAGGCGATAACAAACATTCATACGCTCTAAATGGAGTCAGATCCCGGGCTACTAAAGTGAAGAGCCGTTTCAACAACATCGTTCGATCTAAACGAAGATTAAATAACGGGCTCCACTAAATACTTTAGGAACTTCATAATGATGAATTCATAATAAGCCGATGAATATCTATTTTTTCTGTTGATTCTATTATCATTATCATTTTATTCTTTTCATCGCTGTCATTAATAGCGGTCTACTTGAACATCTGGACTACTTGTTCCTGTCATCGATGTAAATATTTCAACAAGTTCCCTGTTTTCTTGTTTGTTTTAATAAATCATTATGTCTATTAAATGCATAACCTATTCAGGCATGTTTCTGAAAAGTGTACAACATTTCAATTTACTTAGTGTTGTTTTACTTGTATCTTCCCATTATTATTTAGGATTGCAATTGATCAGTCTCTTATTGACAAATGTGCATCCTGTGCAGATTGCTTCAATATAGCCTCAAGTCACAAGCTTTCTAGGCAAAGATGGATGGTGGTTAGCAGTGGAATCCAGGTGTTGCGTTTCGTCCACCACCAAGTGAATTTAAACTTCATCCCATTGCACAAACAAATGGCTATCAGTAGCTAAGTGAATAACGCGATGGCGCACTGGGTTCGAATCCTGGGGTGAACATCAACTCTGCAATTTAGGTATATCCGGCTGACGAGTCCAAAATAGGACGAAACGCGCGTCCTCCATTCCATTGCTAAACACTCTCCATCTGTACAACCTTTCGTTGTACAAGTTACAGAAAAGCTCAATCAGAGATATCGTGGTTGCTAACGATATACAGTGAAAAGAATGTACATTATTTAGATGTTCGATTAAATGGACTGCTAACATCGAACTGATGTTTACTCTTTACTCATTGTCAGGATCAACCAAGAATAATGAAAAAGGGAAACTTATTGAAATACTTTATATTGAGGATTCTATATTGTACCCATTACATAATATTGTATAAAGCCATTAATCATTTCTTTCATCATTAAAAGTGTATACATTTTGAAGTAGTTAAATAGAAAGAAATGATTAGAATAAATAATATCCGCCCCCCCCCAAAAAAAACAAACAAACAATCAATCAATCTTCCATTTTCAATGTCATTTCCGGTGGTGTTATTGCTATTGGATAGAATTTATGCCATTGTGATATGACTTGATCTTTTGTAGCTAATACACGTTCCCAATGTTCTAATTCATTAATACTTGTATTATATTTACCTTAAATTATTCATAGAATGAAAGAAAATAACATTTTTTTTTCTCATTATTTCACAGAATGTTTATAATAATAGTAAATTTGATAAGGTGTCAAATATGAAGTTTAATAATTTTGATATAGGATAATAAAAGAACTATTTGCTATCATAATCTTACTGTTACCTCCAATGGAGTATAGGCTGCCGATCAGTATTCTCCAACCTACTCTACTCTGGACCTTCTTTTCTAGTTCCATCCAATTCTTGTTCATTCTTCTCATGTCTATCTCCATTTCTCGGTGTAATGTGTTCTTTGGTCTTCCTCTTCTTTTTTATTTAACCTTGACTATACCAAGTGAGGATGAGGGCATGCTTTGTGACGCACTCCGGTGCTTTCCTCAATATGTGTCCTGTCCGATTCCTGATTTCTTCCTTCACTGGAATCCGGTTTGTTCTCTCCCACAGTAGCTTGTTGCTGATAGTGTCTGACCAACGAATCTGAAGTATTTTGCGTAGACAACTGTTAATAAACACTTGTATCTTCTAGATGATGGCTTTCGTAGTTCTCCAGGTTTCCGCCCCATACAATAGAACTGTCTTGAAATTTGTATTGACAATTCTGACTTTGGTGTTAGTTGACAGTTGTTTCGAGTTGCAGATGTTCTTCATTTGTAGGTATGATGCTCTTGCTTTGCCGATCCGCGTTTTCACATCTGCATCAGAACCACTGTGCTCATCAATGATGCTGCCCAGATATGTAAAGGTTTTTACATCTTCCAAATCTTCTCCGTCGAATGTGATCTGATTGTTGTATGCTGTGTTGTATTGGAGAATCTTGCTTTTCCCTTTATGTATATTGAGACCTACTGCTGCTGAGGTTGCTGCTACACTGGTCGTCTTCTCTTGCATTTGATGTTGTGTGTGTGTGATAGGAGGGCCAGATCATCTGCGAAGTCTAGACCATCCAACTCCATCCTAGATGTCCACTGTATCCCGTGTTTTCCTTCAGATGTTTGCGTCTTCATGATCCAGTCGATTACCAGGAGAAAGAAGAAGTGTGAGAGTAAGCAACCTTGCCTGACACCGGTCTTCACGTCGAACGGGTTTGTCAGCTGTCCTCTATGCACGATTTTGCAGTTTAATCCATCATAGGAATTCTGTATGATATATATAATTAGAAGGGTTTACTGGTGTATTTGCACGGTTGCAAGGTAGATCGACCGAAAATCAAGTTCACAGCTAGTAAACCTCTACATATCTGGGAAGCATCAGTGATGGATACGGTGAATCTGATGCATATGTGAAGGCGTGGACCAGAAAAGCAAGAGCAGTACATTTGCAAGTGAAGAACATCTGGAACTCAAAACAACTATCTGTCAACCAACACTAAAATCAGAACTTTCAATACAAATGTCAAGACAGTTCTATTGTATGGGGCGGAAACCTGGAGAACTACGAAAGCCATCATCCAGAAAATACAGGTGTTTTTCAACAGTTATCTACGCAAAATACTTCGGATCCGTTGACCGGACACTATTAGCAACAACCCACTGTGGGAGAGAACAAACCAGATCCTAGCGGAGGAAGAAATGAGGAAGAAGCGCTGGAAGTGGATAGGACACACATTGAGGAAAGCACCAAACTGCGTCACAAGACAAGCCCTCATATGGAATCCGGAAGTTCAAAGGAGAAGAGGAAGACCAAAGAACACATTACGCCGGGAAATGGAGATAGACATGAGTAAAATGAGCAACAATTGGATGGAATTAGAAAAGAAGGTCCAGAGTAGAGTGGATTGTCGAATGCTTGTCGGCGGCCTATGCTCCATTAGGAGTAACAGGCGTAAGTAAGTAAGTAAATAATATATATATGTAGGCCATGGCAAAGGAACCAAGTCTTGACCAATTGAGTGCAAATATCATTTAGTTGATTTTGATTATATCACTGTACCTTTCAGCAAATTTAAAATTGCAAGCGTTTACTGTATTATTTGCATAGTTGCAATATAGATGGCCCACCAGTGACTTACAGTAAATATATATATATATATATATATATATATATATATATATATTGAGTTTATAATCATTTCTCAGCTAATAAAATGCTTCCTCCTCCTCCTCCTCTACCTCAGTCTTCTTACTCGTGAATATGAAGCTTGTTGACCCGTATCAGAATCTGATACAATGAAACTCATCAACCTTGTGTTCAGCGTTTAATAAAGCCCAAAATACTAAGGAAAAACACTTATCTAACCTTCATTCCCATGGGAACTTAGTATTTTTTTTTTAAATGTAAAACTTACCTATTTTGCACGTTCCAATTATAATTCGTTTATTGAATGGCTTCCTTTTGAATAATGAAAATTCTACAGTGATTCGATCTATTTGATATGGTTTTATATAAAATGCAAATGTTTCATTCATGTGTATTGTAGATTGTTGTTGATGAGATGCACTATGCGCTTTATTGATTAAACCATCTTCTTCTGTTCTAATAAATAATTTCACATAGATACCTAATAAAAGAAAGAATAATTAAGTAGTTGAAATAACTATCTTTGATGCCTATAATTTTTTTATTATTAACTTAAAGAAAACAATTGAGCAAGTCATATAGTTTTTACGCTTTTAATGTGGTTTACTTACTTGCCTACACCTGTTACTCCCAGTGGATCATAGACCGTCAACCAGCATTCTTCAACCCTCTTCTTTTTTATTTAGCTGTGAGGATTGTAAGTGAAAACTTGTTTTGTGATGCAGTTGGGTGCTTTCCGGGTGGTGGAGATCGGGCTAATCACCCACTCTTACCGATACCCACCAATCGATTACGAAACCCATGGAGAAACATAGCACAATTACATTTGGAATGAAAAATGACAAAAAAGTTTTTTCGAAAGTGGTGCATGTATCATATGGAGTTACTTGTCATTGGGCAAACTCCAAAGGATTGCAGAAACAACTATTCTAGCCACGGTAGTTGTCCCGTGCTTCGATGTGGCCTGTTTCTCTCCAGAAGGGCCTAATAGGCTTCACCAACTTGTTTGGCTGGAAGAGGGGGGCTTGATTTATTTTTACGTATAAATGTTCTTAACATGTATATGGGTGATCAAATGGTACGAAATGCATTGCACTAATATATGGATCACATAATTCTGATAATCTTTGTCTTCTTATTACACTGTCCAAATTTTTAGTATATGATTATGAAGATTGTCAAATTTTATTGGAATCGTTAACCGACCTGGGTGACCATTGAAAACCTGATTCACTAGATGGTCACTTCGTCCAAGAGGTCAAGCATTCGTACGCGAGGCCGAAAGTCTTCGGTTCGATTTTCTGCTTACGATGTCGCGTATACGCTCTTGTGAGGATGAAACGACGATCCAGTAATACCAAGTTCTCAATGGTTGTCTAAATCTAATCAGTTCGCGGTTTCATTGAAAATAATTTTCATCAGTATACTTACCTCTACTAAAGTTGGATCTTAACTATTTTTAGTACTAAATCGATCTTCTATTTACCTACTTACCAAAGGGTAGAATTTGATTTGATTTCCAAAATAAACAAATCAGTATTATACTTTAGACTTTCCTAGAAAAGACCAAAAAATTTATGTTCTGGTTGGTACTGGTTAAATATTATGAAATAAGTTACAACATAACCACTTGTCTAAATGACTTGATATGGTGTATGCTACATTCCATAGCTGGATCATGGAGATAATCAGCAAGAAATTCATGATATTAGGTAAACCAGTTTCAATTTTAATACAGTATGAGGTTATTGGTACGCTTTACCGACCAGTGACTGTTAAGATAAAACCTAGCTCAAAGTATTCCTCAGAATAGGGTTGTGGAGATTATTAAGTTTTTGATTGAGATTATGAAGTGATTGATGTTAGACCTTCATTTACAACCTGAAGGCAGTGGACAGCCGTTTTGTCCTATTGTGGGACTCCTCAGAAGTGTGTATCCACGATCCACGACATTAGCACCGTTGGATACCGACTCAGTGGTCTAGAGGTTAAGGGTTCGCACACGAGATTGAAGGCTTTGGGTTCGAATGCCACCAGCGTGATCATGGGTGCACACCACTGAGGAGTCTCACATTAGGACAAAATAGCCTTCCAGTGCTTCAAGGTTATCATCAATGGTTGTCTAACACTAATCAGTTCATGATCTCAACTAAAGTATTCCTGTTGAATGCTTCCAATTATTTCATTAGATAAAAGAAAACTTATTATAAAGTAAATATTTTTCTATCACTTACTTCGTTTTGGTATTTTACTTATTCTTATACCAATAAGATTAATTTGTTGAATACAACATTCAAATCGTCCAGTATTTTGACTTAATCGTAGCATAAGTAAAACTTTAGATAATCGTGTATTGAAAATGATTGCATTTTCATTCTGTGGACAAATTGATGGTCGATCTTGATCGGTTAATTTTGACGTTGCAATTTTACTTTTATCGTCTGTTTCAACTTCTGTCTGTTAGTTTAAAAAAAAAATGGTATGAATTGTTTTCAATGAAAAGTTTGGATAAATCATTTGGGACAGTGTTCGGTGACGACTTCGAGTTACAGTATGGTAACAGATTCGAATTATCGTTATGGACTAGTGAATTCAAACTCAGTGCGATGAGACTATAATTTATGGACGTCCATTGAGTAACACTAAAATGACCATGGATTATCTGCCTACTTACTAGGGTGAAATGAGAGTGATATATTAGTGTGAGGGATTAGGATTAGAATTTACAGTTGAACGTTAGGGTTAGGAATTAGATTTCATGTTTTCATCACGAAATGACATCAGCTATAAAGCTAAAACGGTATGTAGCTTAATGAGTGGATGAATTTCGTGCCAAAACTCAAGATCTGCTATCTTAAATCTGATTGGCTCGTCCATAAATTATGATCTCGCCGAAGAAACAGATGTCTATTGATTCTTCAGCTTTCATAGTTGTCTCTTTGATTTTAGTTCATGGTTAAAGTTGACTTCGAATGGTAACAAGAATCAAGTTAAATGCTCAAACTGATTGATAAATTTTGTATGAACTAAACTGCAAATAGATAATTAAAGAATATTTCTTTGATTGAAATCATGAGTCAATTGAAGCTAGACCACTACTGAAAACTTGGAAGCACTGGACGGCCAAATCGTCCTAGTACGGGACTTCTCAGCAGTGCGCATCCACAATCGCGTCTCCCGCTATGTTCGAACCCAGGACCTACCAGTCTCACGCCAGGCGCTTAACCAACCAGACCACTGAGCCGGCATCCAACGGTGTTAATGTCTAACTTCAACCAATCCACGAAGTTGCACCACCGTACACCATTGTCTTCAGTGAATTGATTTCTCACAATAGACCTGGTTGAACTCCGCTGGTAACGGCTTATAACTACAACTCCAGGAATATCTGTTGAAGTGAGTCACTAGTGAGCAGATGATTAAAAAAATAATAATCTTACTCATAAGGGGAATTATTGATCCAAATTAACGTTTGTTTACTAGACCAGTTCGACGAAATCATCAAATTTAAATTAACATGTCAAAAGGTTGATTACTATTTCAATTAATCAAGAATATGGTGGTCTAGCTTCAATTGACTCATGATCTCAACTGTTGAAAGAATATCTTTCTTGAAAGTATGGAAAAATTAGTTTCCAATGGTAATAGAAGATGATAAAACCGAATGAAAATCAAAATAACAAGTTAAGACAAACTTTATTGTTGTCATTACTCTTATCTCTTGTAATTATTAAGATCATTCACAACAGTTTGTTAAACAGTCATCATATTGAACCTGTTATATCCTAGTGAAGATTACATTACGAGTAACTTCTGCCAACTATGAATGGACTAATATTCTGTATATATATTCTTCTTGTATATAACTATTCAGTAACTAAATTATGCATATCTATATTCTCCTTTATTATAAGTTTCATTTTGGCCTATCGACTACTGTTATACGATTTAACTATTCCTAAATTGTACTCAGTTTATTGATTACAGTCTCCCACATTCACAACCACTTTTTGGCATGATCTTGTATAAATGTTATTTCCTATTCTATGGTGTGATATGATCTGTTTAGCTGGTATATAAATCAAGTATGTTTGAAATATATGATTCACACAGTGGAAGCTATTCATGGTGTTCTGGACTCAACTAACAGGGTTAGGAAGACAAAAGACCAATAAGGACTGTTAAGCTGATCAGACCAGTCGAACGTCATTGATTTAGCATAGTACAATTGTGAATAAGTAGTATTTCGATTGATCAATAAATTACGTGATAATTAGCCAACCTTAAAGACACAACAGAACCCTTTTTTGAATCCTCGTAAAAGATTAGTTAAATTTACATTTTAGGATTCAGTGGTTAAGAATGTTTACATTTAATGAAATGTAATAACTCGTAATGGTTTGTAAATTTTTATTACTAAAATTCAGGAATCCAACTGATCGGTGCATCCCAGACACAAATACTTAACAGTTATAATCGTGGATTTCAACAACGAGGACTTATATACCATTACAAATAGCTTCATATTCTTTAAACGAATTAGTATTCTTTAATATGGATATATGTATATGAGGATAACCATCCCTTATTTAATATTCAATAAAAAGTGAATTAAGCAATTAACAGTGGGTGAACATATACCAAAATGGTTGCAGAATCAGATGAATCCCAGTGGTCAAATAAGATCACAGGATAAACAGACATCTTCCTCTATAGCGAAACATTTGATTCAGACTGGTTATAAGGTTGATATCAAGTCAACATTTGTAGTGTTTGACAAAAGTCTTCAAGGACGTATACTAAGGTTTATTAAAGCCTTGGGTATAGGGGAACTGAAACCTCTTTTATGTGTTCAAAAACAAGGTGTTCTTGCCTTTAACCTATCTTAGTAATACTGATTTACTATCCAGAGTGGTTAACACTCTGTGTACTATATTCTTGTTTGTTACGGCTTACCTTTAACCTGTCTAATTGACCACTTATTTCTTTATATCTAAATGTTCTTAACAAATTTATAATGTGTGGTCAGATTGTTCGAAATGCATCGCGCTAATCTATCATCAGATAGTTCTGATAATCATCTTATTGCATTATCAAAAAACTGAAGGATCTAGCATTATGGAGCGCTTTTATATTCCTCTAGTGAATTAATTGTACATATACAAGTGTGATTTTTACTTGGAATTTTATTTGAGTCAGTTAAAGTTATCTATATATGCCTTTTATGAACACATAAAAGTAGCTCATTCTAAATTGCTAAATGAAAGAACCAAATTAAGTAAGAAGTTAGAGTTTAAACTAAAAATCTTCAATGAAAATTATACCCTCTTATGTAACATTCATCATTTAAATGAATAGGAATGGGTGTCAGTCGGTCAGTAACAACGTAGAACTTCGTACGTACGTACATCAGTTCAAGTTGCCACACCACCTTAGCACAGAGATGCAGTTGTCGATTCGAATCCCATCGTGGTAGAGGTAGTAAAAGTATAAGCAGTAATCGGAAAGATTAGGGTTTGAAGATGTCATTCAAGAAATATAATCCAGTGAAATAAATTGGGAAAGAGAGAAAGGAAGGGACATGAAGAATTTAGAAGATTAAAATTTGGGAGAACATAAAGAGTGAATGTACCTGTGCCATTGCAAACGATTTTGAGCCATGTCATTCAGGGTCTCTAACCATCGGTTGCTGTCATCTCGTGGATCCCAACCAGTTAGTCTACACTTACCAACATGGCTCACTCAGTTCACCTATCAGTGATTTCATGGAATTGTGTCATGAGGAAGATATACGATATATCATACATATTGAATATGGATAAAAACGGATACACTACAGAATCACGAACATGTATCCTACCTTATGCATATAGAAACTTGTTGTTCAAAGGAACTCATATCAATAAGAGAGGGAGTATTAAAACGTTACTTCAACTATACAGTAAAATAATAACTCTAAATAAATATCATACATCCAATAACCAGTATCCAATATGGTACACATTAGTAACTAAGTGTTTGTTTATTGAATTCAGATCCAAGTGAAAAATAAACTTATTAAACTAAATCACAATATAATGAAGTGATGATGGTTCATAAGATAAATCAGTATCCATTTTCTATAAAATAGATTATCGGATTAAAGTTCATAATAATACAATGATGCATAATGACAATGAACTACATTCTTAGTTATAATTCGTTATGATTAACTAGGACAAATTTAGGTAAGAAGTAACAAAGCCATTGATGTTTTAGTGATAAAATGAATTAATCTTTAGAGAAAAGAGAGAATGATGAATAACGAGAAGATCTGGAGTTGTGTAGAATCTTGTCGACGGTTAAGATCACACTGTCATATAGACCTATGAAGCTGTTATTATAACAGATAACGGAACATAACCATCTTTCATATAAAATCAAGGTAGATAACAAATTATAAGATTGAACAACTTCATCAGCAGAAATAATACGTCAAAATGTAACTGCAATATCTACCAGTTGATCTTATGTTGTATCAGTTTATCTTCTAGCTGTGATTTAAATAAGAGAAATAATTTAGCTCATACTGTGGTGCATGCTACTTATATCGATATAAGTAGTATATTATGCGAGTCAAGAATGTAATGTCTGGCAGCAGAAGATGAGGAAAGATCAAGAAAACAGGAGCAGTAATAGAATGCAATTTGTATGAAAATGTAAGAACAATGAAGTGTGAGGCATTTTGAGACAAGTGGTGGACATTTTGCAAATTAACGATTTAATTTATGGTTCTCAGATTTCATTGATATGCTCTGTAATGGTGTGTCGACATCTCTGTTTGCTCAAATTAACACAAGTCATGCAACGGAATTCGACACGATTATTCCATTGGTTTATGACAAAAGAACGAATTTTTGTAGCGTCGTTTCAAACAATTAAACGAGCTTCATCATGATTTACATCCGTTAACTATCATGAATAATTACGAAAAATCAGAGTTATCAGAATTTCGACAATTAGGTACAATAAGGTCACTACTTCTATCTGATCCAATTTATATGGAATAGACTTGAGAAACCGGCAAACCTTCAACAATAAATGAAACGTTTTCTCTCAGATCCGCTAGTTGGTAGCATTAGATTTTTTTTGCCTCTTTCAGATGTTCATAATGTCATCTGATAATTCAATGGATTTATCATTATTCGTTGAGAATGAAGATCTATTAACAAATTGTTTTGAGAAAGCCTTTTTCAGAAGATCAAGAAGTGGAGATCTAACGAATCTAATTTTTTTGCAAAATTTACAACGAAACGCCCACACTTTTGTTGTGGTAGATTTTACTGAAACGATTGTATAGATGTCACTGTCAACTCAATCGGGCTGTTCATCTAAACATATGGAAATTCTCTAAAAAAGGAAATGTCTAAATAAATTGAAAATCGAGCAGTTTGTTCTAGGTGTCCAGTAAAAGCATGCAAAACGAAAGTGCAAGAAGGTAAAATTACACAATATATAGGAGGCTAAAAAAACTGAGTTCAAGTTCCACTGTGAACATCAACACTGAGATTCAGGAATATCAAGCTGACAAGTCATAAGTAGGAGAAAATGCATTTGCTGAACTCCAGTCCCAGTTACAATTAACATATCATAAAACATAATACTTTGAGCAGTTTTTTTCGAAAACCTGCCATCTCACAGCAATAACACACAGAAAAGAACCTACTCACCGTATTGTGAAACATAATCCAATGTTAACTGATTTACACTGAACATCCATGATCCGCTTATCTATCTAAGAATTCTAAAATAACTAATTTAGAAACTGTAGTTACCATGGAAATATAGACGATCCTCTTCTTAAACTCTAGTCAATAAATGATTTGCACAAACTCTTTATAAATATGAAATATTCCTTTTCATAGTATTAATTTTGAGAAATGATGAACTTCGTCCAGTACTTTCGGTTTATTTTAGTCATGAATGTCTATTGAACACTTGGTTATCTTCATAAAAGCATAATTCATAGGTATGTAAACAAAAACATTATTTTCATATGGTTTGTGCTTTAGTTATCATGGTTAAACGGTGTTCTGAAGACGATCCCAAGCTTAATTAGATTCCCATATAGTTGCTTAATGAACCAGGAATTTTCAGTATTTCAATTAGTAATTCAACTAGTGATTATCATTATTAAGTTACTATGTTAATAATTTCTACAAGTCTTGCTTAATTATATATAAATTAAATGTATGACGAGGTCAATATTTTAAATGTAGTTTGACTATCAGAGAAAAGTATCTTGGGTCCATGCCTTAATAACGTACAATCTTCTAACAAGACTTAATATCAATTTATACAAATGAGTTCTCATAAACTATGTTAAACTCTCTAAAATACACCTTAAATATAGCATGGATTGGTTAAAGTTAGACATTAATATATAATAGTCTTATCAAGCCTAGTGAAGTAGCTGAAGATTGAAATCTGAATGTTCAAATGAAAGGCACAGAATGATATGGGTCAACTCTGTTGTTCATGATTATTCTTTTAATAAAGTTTTACTACTTAATTAAAAATAAGTAGATTGACTAATTTACCAAAACAAATTACCGTCAATTCCAATTACCTTTGTTAATTGCAAATCATGTGGAACCGGTAGAACATGTATTGGTTGAAAATTTACTGTGAGAATATTTTCAATATTTAAATTTAAATTTTCAAATGGTAGAAAAGCTTCTCCACACAGATATTCTTCATTTCCGAAAAATCCGACGATACAACAAATAAGCGTAGATTTGTGTATAGTAACTTGACAATAAGTCAAACAATAAATGTATAGAAGGTAAATACCAGAAGAATTTGAAACATTAAAAAAAAGCCAGTTTAGAATTAGAGAAAACATTTCCATGCACCTATCACTGTGACTCTTTCAATACAAATATCATATAAGGAGTAATATACAGCATGACTAGACAGAAATATAATCACTAGACTAATATACATCTAAAATTGAGAATGACTTTCTGTAAAGAGGTCGAGGAGAAAGGCTTCTCTATAAAACAGGTTGTAAGTAGATTTTTTGAAGTAGATTCACTGATAATTAAGACATTAGGATGGATAATTTGAGTGGAAAGAAAATATCAAGTCAACATTAAGATAGTGGAAATGCGAATTCATTGTCAATCAAGTTAGTTCCTGTAGTGATTGTGAAATATAAAATCAAAGATAAACATATTTAGTTAATTTATTTATTTGAGCACATAAATATTGCTATAAAGGAGTAGCGAATACATATGCGCCACAGAAGTCACATGATTTTTATGTGGGCTGTGATACTGCATAGGTGACCAAACCGAAGTAGATGGTTTTCTTGGAATGCCATACTCAATGCCTTTAACCTAAAGGTCTGATTCACAAGGCAGTGGGTTAACGTCAGGAGATGCAGTCCCATGCTAACCGGTGATCAACAATTGGTTCAAACACCATTTTTCCTTCAGGATACTGGAACCCATGTTTACCATTGGTTTGGAATCAGGGTTTCCCAAATCACCTAAGTGGACTTTCCGTGTTCACCAACCCGGTTGATGCACCGGACATTCTCTTTTCATCCTCTCAATTTCGTAAACATCAGTAATGCAGCGAGAAGACGGTGAGCAGGAATTCCTCTGCAGTGGTTAAATGTTCGTGGCCATGTAAGAGTATTTCGAGAGGGAGAGCTGAATCTCTCCACTCTGTTCTGTACCAGGGCATTTGCGGGCAAATTGTAGTGTCAGGTGTAGGATTCGAACACACGCCCACTGAGTGGATTGTGTTCTGATTACTTCGGCTTGGACCGCTCGACCGTCCTCACATATTTGTTACTAGCCGCAATGAATGACTTTTGAAGTGCAATAGAACAAAAAGATAAGATAATGTTGAAGTAAAAAAGAACATTGGAGGTATCACTGAACTAAAATTTGAACATATCTCAAACTAAAATGCTTTAGCATTATTTTTTTCGACAAAGTCACTGTGATTGGACTAAATAGAGGAAAATATATATCGGAAGTAGAACACAACATGTTTGCTATTATCCTTGATTATAGCCACTTGATGATGAATTAAATGGATTCTTCATTTATCAAGAAATATTTGAAACCCATCTTTAAAACGAATAAGAACAGCTTTTTGATTAAAATGATGAACCGATTGATTTTATACCACCTTCGGAAACTTGTAAGCACTGGACGGCCATTTCGTCCTATTGTGGGACTCCTCGGCGACGCCCATCCACGATCTCGCTCTCGGGATTCGAACCCGGGCCCTCGAGCCTTCTAATAGTAATATCTGTTTAAATAAATAGAATTTCTCAGAGAAAAATTCATCACAAAAGTTGAAATATTCAAAGTAATACTTGTAAAGTTGAAGTTTATGAATAAAGTTTAACACTGAGTTAGGTTCAGTCAGTTTACATACAGTCTTAAGTTGACATTTTGTGCCATATAATCAATGAGATTGTTCAATTTAACATTGAATTGCAATACAAAGTGATATAAACTGAAGACTGTTTTCAACTTGTGAGCAATGTCTTTCTAGAACAGTGTAGTAGATATTACAGCATTCAGGTGGATCTGATGCAGATGTGAAAGCGCATATCGGAAAAGCAAGAGCATCATACCTACAGATGAAGAACATCTGGAACTCAAAACAATTGACAACCAACACGAAAGTCACAATTTTCAATACAAATGTCAAGACAGTCTTACTGTATGGGGCGGAAACTTGGAGAACTATGAAAGCCACCATCCAGAACATACAAGTGTTTATTAACAGTTGTCTATGCAAAATACTTCGGATCTGTTGGCCGGACGCTATCAGCAACAACAAACCAGATTCTAGTGGAGGAAGAAATGAAGAAAAGAGGCATTGAAAGTGGTATAGGACACACATTGAGGAAAGCACTCAGTTGTGTCACAAGGCAATCCCTCACCCTCACTTGGAATGCTCAAGGCTAAACAAAGGAGAAGAGGAAGACCAAAGAACGCATTACTCCAAGAAATGAAGACAGACATGAGAAGAGTAGACAAGAATGGCATAGAACTAGAAAGTAAGGCCCAAGATAGAGCGTATTAGAGAATGTTGGTCGGTGGCCTATGTTCCATTGGAGGTAACAGGCGTAAGTAAGTAAGTAAGTCAGAAGGACTCTTTCAGAACAAATAGAGTGAACAAAACATTGTTCGACGACAGATAAATGTATAACGGAAAAATAATCCCAAGTTGAAAGGATTTAGCATGTTTCATTTTTTTACTATACATCTAATTGAAGTTTTCGTTTATTTTTTCTAAAAACATTTTTGTAATCATATAGATGTTTGGCAGATCGATTATTCAACATCATCCAAATAATCTCAAGTTAATTGGTATCATTACTAAGGTTTAATTTGATAATTTCAAATAAATTGACCGTTGAGTAGATTGTTATTAATCAAAATAATATACTTTTGTAATATCCCAATGAGTAGAAAAAATTGAATTTTCTGGCGTTTCGTCACTTAGTGTAGGCCACTTCTTCAAAGAATGAACAAATAACCAAATCAAGATCTCAATTAAAACTTAATAGTCTCCACAACCCCATACTAGAAATCAAAATTAATCCAAGTTCAAATTGTACAAAGGAACAAAACAAGAATATTAGGTGAGATCAATCAAAAAACCGATTTGAATAAATCAATATCATGTCATTTCGGTCAACATGATTCATAAGCGACATGCATGTCAATTTGTGTGCGTTTATTTGCATGTGTGCAAGGTTAGGGATAAAAAAATGTGTGACCTTTATGGTGAGAAAGTATAGAGTTTAATTCGTAGGTAAGATAATGGTGTGAAATGTGACATAGTAGCTTGGATAGATAATCGAAGTTATTGATTTTGTGTATGGGCTGAGCTACTGTCCGAGTGCCCAAACTGGTTATTTATTTGCTCTGAAGAAGTGGCTTACACTGAGTTACGAAACGTCAGAAAATCTCATTTCTCTACGCATGGAGATATCTACAAATATATTTGAACACTTCACTTCTATCTGAAGTTTGTGCTGATCATGTCGTTCAAAAGAACGATGAAAGCTCCAGAATCAAAACATCCAACTCAGAGAACAAAACTCCTGAGCTACAAATCTTCTCCATCACATTGCTTTTATTTAATCCCAACTTTTTAACATTGAAACATACTATTTTTGACTAATTAACTCGGATTTGACTAAAAACCAACCAAACAAATAATAAACATACCAAGAGGGATTGGGAATTTCCATTCTTCTAAGTATTCTGGATTTGGTGCTGTACGTATTTTACTTTGCCAATATTGTTTATTATCTGGTTCCATAGATAAGTTAATCTTTTATGATTTGTTTGTTGTTTTTTAAAGAAAAAGAAAAAAAGAACTGAAAGTATTATGTTAATGAAATAACAAATTAAATTCTCTTCTTTTAGGTTCGAAGTTATCATGAGTTCACTTAATCTGCCAACGAGAAACAAGACTCGGTGACTAAAGACCAGTAAGCTGGATATTTGATGCTTTCCAACCCCTCTAACTAGAGGGAGAAGACCAAGCTCGGAATGGGGAAGTATATTCTGCAAAACAGCCAGAAACGAGCGATCACAACAAACACAATTCAAAACGTATATATACAGTACAAAACCGTCCTTGGGGAGAGTTACCAAATAGCATACAGAAAGACGCAACGGACCGATAGCATTTGAGATATTTCCCAGTGGGAAATACGACATGAAGGTGACAAGAGCACCTTTGGCGCGAAAACAAAGAAATTCAAATTTTCTGAATAAAATTACGAAATTAGTCCTTTCCCAAGTAAGTTCTCGGGATCCAACGTCCCCAACATGTTCATTAGAAACCAGTTTTACTTTAGACAGTAAGTCAAGTTAAGGTGCTTTTAATTAAATTCTTTTCTTCAGAAGGGGTTTTGTGGAGATTTTTTAGAAAATTCACTGATTGATATCACGATCCCGCACCCTGCGAGGTTCGAACCCAGGACCTATCAGCCCCATACTAGGACGAAACGGCCGTCCAGTGCTTCCAGGTTTCCCATGGTGGTCTAGCTTCAACTGACTCATGATTTCAATCAGTGAAATTTCTTATTTGTTTAGATTGAGAAGGCTATTTAACTTGTTTAGCAACATAAGTATTCAGAAAAACATTCACATCTTCTAGGCAGTATATATGAAGTTCAGTTAGTAATTTAATGTAGGATATGTGTTTTATTCTATTTGGGAATCGTCAGATGGATACATCTTGGGTTACAGTATTGAAATTCACTGTCGTATTCCAATGAGAAACGTTTTCCAAGGAATCTACAAATTACTTAACACACTTTATGATAGAAAATTTATGCATTTAAGAGTGATATGTAAATAGGGCGTTTACGCATTTCTTAAAACGGTACTTCATTACGTCATAGTAGTCTTATAGGAATTTCTGATAGATTCTAGCAATTTTACATCAATTAATACAACAAACGAATAGATTTACGTCGAAATGATGAAAAAAACACAACTTATTTTCGACAAACGATGTAATCCACTTATGCTAGATCAAACAAGCTTATCAATTTAATGTGCAATTATCCATCTATCAATTAAGGGATGAGTATACTGAGCGGCAGTTCATTCCGCTCTATTTTACGACTACGAAACGTCGCCATTAAGAGTAGAAGATACTCGTTACTAGTATTTAACCACAGATGCCTTAGAAATATTGCTTGCATCTGCTGGGATCACCGGGTAAGTAATAGTGAGGTCAGACGCAGGGTATTAGGGAATGATGATGATAAATCAGTTGATGAGGTTGTGAATCTTCATAGACTGAGATTGTTGGGCCACGTGTTGCGTATACCTGAATACCGATTACCACGACGCGCAATGCTGACTAGTGTTGGAGATGGTTGGAAGAAAGTTAGAGGCGGTCAAACCAAAACGTGGCATCAGTGCTTGAAGTTACTAACTTCTAGTCTGAGCCTTGCTGGTAAATGCATACTACTTGGTTGTTGTCTGCATGACTATCGTAAGCAATAGTTGGAGACTCTTGTTGACATGGTTGAGAATCGATCACAATGGCGTCTGTGTATATACTCTCTATCTTACCGTAAACTAAAAGATTAGACTGTCTTCATATCTTTCTTTCTATGAACTAACTTTCTCTTCCTGTTCTATATTACTTACTTACTTACGCCTGTTACTCCTTGTGAAAAAGCATAGGCCGACCACCACTCTTTGTCCAACCCTGTCCTGGGCAATCCTTCCTAGCTCCTTCCAGTTGTTATTCATCCTTTTCATATCTGCTTCTATTTCCCGACCTAATGTGTTCTTTGGCCTTCCTCTTTTCCATTTTCATTCAGGATTCCAAGTTAGGGCTTGCCTTGTGATGCAGTTTGACGATTTGCGTAATGTATGTCCTATCCATTTCCATCGTCTTTTCCTAATTTCTTCTTCAGCTGGAAGTTGGTTTGTTCTATCCCACAGAAGGCTATTGCTGATGGTATCCGGCCAATGGATGTTGAGTATCTTGCGTAGACAGCCCTTATAGGGTTACTGCCGGTCCCAAGCCCGGGTAAAGGAGGAGGGTTGAGCATGGGGTTAGCGTCCCCATCCCGTAGAAAACTAACTCGCTAAAAAAACGCTTACCAGAAAAATAATCGTGTACTATATAATAATATGTAATCTTTCTTTTATATATTACCACCATTGAATCAACTACTTCTATGAATCCAGTGTTCATCTTGTTGTGCTAATGGAGTATGGCAACTTCGACCGATGTATATATGTGCCTGGTCTAATGTTGTAAGTAACTGACTTACGGACACTTAACTGTTCATTGTAGTACCCTAATTTAATAAAGAATTTCTTATCCAAAATATTTACCCTAATGAAATTTCAGTGATGTTTTCACGCCGGCTAACTTTCAAATAATGTTTGAATAGAAACATTATACTACTATTAAGTAGGTGAACGTTTAACGTAAAGTTACATGCTTTTGAAAACGTATGATCTGTACCATCTCACAATATAACAATTCAGTTGGGGGTTTGATTATATTAATAGTAATGAATCTATGGACACGACAAAAATGATCATAGAATCACTTTGACATACTTGATAAGCTGAGGGTCCGCCAGCTTCCCTGCCAGGTACATTGTTTGCACGTATAACATTCACATGCATTTCTTGTTCTGCATCATTATAATGGACAGATAATTGCAGTCTGCTTGAATTCTACAAAGTGTGAAAATAAATCGGTCTATTAGTTCAGTATACCGCCCAGGACAGAGTGGGTTGGAGAATGCTGATTGGCGGCCTATGCTCTATTGGAAGTAACAGGCGTTAGTAAGTAAGTAATTTCAGTATACGGACAATTTTATTTCTTTAAATGAATTAAGGAAAATTCATATTCATAATCTTAACCGGACTGTTCTGAAATATTGTTTTCTAAGATTCTTATCTCTTCTAGTTTGAAGTGGATATAATGGAAACATCCTATCAAATGATTATATTACATGTCTCTCTATTTATTCATTGAAGCGAAGTTACTTTTGCTTGGAAATATATTTCAGTGTTAAACTACATTTAATAGTCAATGATACTTTAGAAATACTGTAATGAGTATTTATTGGTATCGCACACACCTCATAGATAACTTTGATGCCTGATGTTACTTTTTAAAAGAAACTAGGAAGGACCTGATAGCTCTTTCTTGTTAGTACGGAATTGCTTTCAAGTACTTATTCACGACTTCACTAGAGATCGAACTCAGGACCGGGTTTCTTAGTGAGTGACATTTGTAGATTACACACTTGCTGCAAGAAAATAACCGAAGATAAATGAAAAGTGCTCTATTCAACATAATAAAGGGAACTAAATGTATGTAGCAAGAATTTAATTACTATTTCGCCTTAATATGAAACTCTTCACTAGTATACACCCACAATTTTCCTAGGGATTGAAAGTATAACCTCTAGGTTTGGGGGATTTAACGATACCTTAAAACTGCCAGTTTGGAAGATATTTGTTTACAGTTTCGATTTCAGTGAAGTCGAGATAATGATCGAGCATTACTGATTTTCTCTGCCTTCAGATTAAATTTAGTTCATGATGTCGGCTAAAAATTGAAAAATCTTCATGAACTGTCCAAGCTACCGATTATGCCTTGGTTTAGGTTGACTACTAAGCTAATAAAATTTGTTAATATTTACAATTGATTGATCACTAGGTGGTGATCAATGTCATGTATGTAAGCTCATTCTTAGTGCATATCGAATCCTATCAACGAAGTTGAAATGTAGTCACCAATCTAGGTGAATCGACATTGCGTGCACTATGTTGGAAGTAGTTGAAAGTAAACCTTGCACCTAGGATTCGTGCTACTTAGTACTCATCAGCAAGATGTATCTGTAATCTTGAGGGAACTGATGTTCCCTTACGGATTCGATCCCGTGTCACCCAGCTCCACAGTGAGAGACGTTATCACTGAGCTACCCAGTAACATCTCTGATTGTGAAGCTGGGTGATACGGAATCGAATCCGTAAGGGAACATCAGTTCCCTCAAGATTACAGGTGTATCTTGCTGATGAGTACCAAGTAACACGAATCCTAGGTCCATGGTTTATTGTTGACTATCTCCAACCACTATCTATTTTGTCGACAGTTTCTTTTTAAGCTCGACCGTACATACCACCTTTATGTGTACTATAAAACAAAACTAGTAATTACCGGTAATGTAAAGGATTTGATCTCATCCTTGTCATTGTCATCATCTTCATCAGAAAAACATTCCCCTGTGTCTGTATCGTCAGAGGATTTTGGTTCATTGGTTAAAAGATCCAATTCTGCTTCATACTCTTGTATTGAAAGAATTTTAGGCTTTCCACCTTTTGAGGCAGTAGATGTTTTTCTTTTGTTGTTTTCGTTATTAGAACTGGTGAGATCTTCTGAAGCTAAAATTTTTTCAGATAAAATAGTGATTTCATATAGAATATGGATGAATGTACAGAGTTGTCCAGCAATTAGAAAACTACCTTGGTAAACTAACTAGACAAAGAATAAAGGAAAGTTAGAAGGTTATAAGTAAGTAATTTTTGAATAAACAACATGCAAATGTCACCACAAACGTAAGTTGTTTACATTTGTACAAAACAGTATTCGATACTTCATGACAGTACTAGTTTCCAACCCAGAAAGAACTATGTACTAGCTGAGAAGAGGTTTAGGAGAAATGCAACAAGTTTAAGATCTGATGAAGTTATACTATCAACCATGCTGAATGAAAGTTTACCCTATGGATTATGAGCTTCTCTTGTAATGCTGCTTTATAACAATTAGTTAGGAGAGGTTAACTCTATAAACAGACACATTATTCCTTTCTACTGCTAACATTTGATGCAAACATTAAGGTTTGTAAACCTCGGAGTTGATACAAGAATAGATGGAACAATCATTCATAAAAGTATGGGTTATAGATACTAAAAAAAGAAAAATTCTTTCATTGTGAAGGTGACCGGTTAGCAGTTGGCATTTTTTAAACAGCATTCAACCGACTGATTCTTATCTCCATTGACGTAATATGCTTTAACACAGTAATCTTTTGGTTAACATAGTTATTATAACTAACGGATAACATGTGCCAGTCAAATATTTACTGCTAAGTATCATTTAATATTATTTTAATGGTTAGCGTTTTCTTCTTAGCGAGTTAGTTTTCTACGGGATAGGGTCGCTAACCCCATATCCAACACTCTCCCTTTATCCGGGCTTGGGAACGGTAGTAGCCCCCCCCCCGAGGTGGTATGTTAATATTCATTCAACAATCATATTATTGGTAAATGACAATTACTGTTTCGTGTAATAAATATTTTATTAAAAGGGTATAAACACAAAGGTATAAGTTGGTTAAAAGAACAATAAACCGCCATTGAAAACATACACTACCAATGGCTACTACTTGGAAAACTACATGAAATACATATGCTGAAAGTTAAACTCTTTATCCAGTTCTAATCTATTCTACTTGTGTTTTTCTTTGTTTCAAGTATCTACCTACATTTTTTCCATAGTGTAGGGTTTTTAAGAGCAGTTGTTAATGGGACGATAATTAATACATTTCTACCAACAGTTTCTAAAACAGAGTTATTTCTGTCTAGAAAACAAAAAAAAGTTGAAAAACAAAGAAGAAATGAAATGAAATAAATAAAGCAAAGAAACGATGTACACACAATCACTTTTGTTTTTTAAATCTTGATCTGGGAAATGAAAATTTCACAGATTGAAATCATGAGTCAATTGAAGCTAGACCACTATAGAAAACTGGGAAGTACTGGACGGCCGTTTCAACTTAGTATGGGACTCCTCAGCAGTGCGCATCCACGTTTCTGCCTGGTAAGATTCGAACCCAGGCGCTTAACCAGCTAGACCACTGAGCTGGCATCCAACGGTGTTAATGTCTAACTTCAACCAATCCGCGAAGTTGCGCCACCGTACACCATTGTCTTCAGTGAGTTGTTATCTCACAACAGACAGGTTGAACTCCACTGGTAACGGCTTCTCACTAGAACTCCAGGAGTATCTCTTGAAGTCAGTCACTAGTGAGCGGGATCGTGGATATGCACTGCTAAGGAGTCCCATACTAGGACGAAACGGCCGTCCAGTGTTTCCAGGTTTCCAGGTCTAGCTTCAATTGACTCATGATTTCAATCTGTGAAGTTTCTAAAATTTCCACAAACCCCTTCTGAAGATGAAAATTTGTCGATAAAATCTATCTGAATGTGTGCTCTCTCTCTCTCTGCCTGTATGTGTGTGTATATCTATCTATCTATCTATCCACACATCTATCTATTTATCTATCACATCAGTTAGAATGCTTCATAAAATAGTATGGTTTGCTAAACTTACATAAATTCAGTTACTATGTCACAAGATTTTTAAAGAAAAATACACAGCAAAATCTCAATAAACAAATTGAACTTTACTTAATAAAGGTAACCTTTGACAACACAAGTGAGAAGAATGACATTTCAGTGAAGAGAAATTTTCTTCAACATAGTTTCTTACAAAGGTTTATAATCAATCCTCAAATGCCATGGGTACGGCCGAGAGTGAAGAGAGTCAGCTCTCCTACTCGAAATGCTCTCACTTGGTCACGCGTATACAGCCACTACCAAGGAAAAGCTACTCACTGCCTTCTCGTGGTATTACTGTTGTTTACGAAATTAGAGAACGGAAAGTGAATGTCCGGTGCTTTAACCGGGTGGGTGACACAGTGAGTCCAACTAGGGGAATTAGAAAAACACTGATTTCAAATCAATGGTACACATGGGCTCCAGTATCCTGAGGAAACAACTGGCGTATGAACCAATTATTGGTCACCGACTACCATGGGATTGCATCTTCTGACGTTGCTCCACTGCTCTGTGAACCAAACCTTTAAGTTGTAGGCTCATGCAAACTCTACGCCATATCTGTAATAAACAGCTCTATTTGCTATATGAGTTATTATCCGGGCAAAATAAAGACTGATGTTAATCTAATTGATCCATTATGAAACACACTAAACAATTTAATCCATCATACAGATAGAAATATTCTGTGCTAATTTCTAAATATCAGTCAGTTACCCAACGTCAGTCAGTGAAAGGTAGGACCTAACAAACATTTTCGTTGGTTCAAGTTGCTACATAATATTAGCATAGGATGGTGAAATTATCGAGTTAAATCCCAGAGAAATAAAAGCATTGACAATATTTGTAGTAGAAAAGATTAAGCATACAATGAAGAAACAAAGTATAAAACTTAGGGACTAAGGATCGAAAGGAGTGAATGAATCCACCTCATCTTGATAGATTCAGAATTTTTTCGTCTGACGTCTACGACCACCGGTCACGATAATTGTCTGAACCCGAACCAGGAAGTCTAAACTTACTTAAATAGATTATTCCAAAAGCCAACGACCTTATGAAATGATAACAATATGTCTTGGTCTAGCTGCCCCTAGCCTTCTTCTCACCTATTTCTACACCAAACGAGATCGTCTCGTTGAAATACGCGGTGGTTGAGCATGCATAATACGCATCCCAATCACCTCATTGAGTGAGTGATCACCCTACTACCTAAGCACACGATTGTCTCCTTGATGGTCTAAAAAACCTCTTCAATGATTTGAATACATTTATGACCGAATACTAGTAACCTATGAATATCTTTTGATCTTAATGACCATGGTTGTCAGATAAAATGGAACAGTGCAAACTGATGCTCAGTAAACTTGTCCTTTGGTTGGCAGGCAGATAATTAATTACAATGGTTGAGATCATGAGTTAGTTGAAGCTAGGCCACTATGGACAGCCGTTTTGTCATGTTGTGGGACACCTCAGCAGTGCGCATCCACGATCCCACCCCGCAAAATTCGAACCCCGGATTGATCTATCTCGCTCGCGATCACTTAACCTCTAGACCACATACATCAAATCAGTCAAAAGTATTCTATGTTTAGGTTTGCTAAAAAATATTCACAAGAACCCTTTTGAGTGTATGTTCACTGTAAATCCAAAGATGATTACAACAGTCTACAAGAGTAAAATTCACTTGGTATTGTTTTACCTGAATCTTCCGAATGATATTGAGGACTGTGACTGATCAGTCTCTTACTGGCATATGTGCATACTGTGCATATTGCCTTAATTCGCAAGCATTATAAGCAAAGATGAATAGTGGTTAGCATTGGAATCTAGTTTGACGCGCGTTTCGTCCTATTTGGGACTCGTTAGTTGAATGTACCTGCACCTCATTGTTGATGTTTTTTCTGGGGCTCAGATGCAGTACCGTTCGCTTCAAACACCATCGCGTTATCCACTTAGCTACTAAGTCTACAAGAATTATTTGAAATATTCATAATCTTAATTAGTTACTGGAATAAACCACATTCATTAGACACGTACTTTATTCCAGGATCTAGTAAAGATTTTAAGTTATAAAAATGTCAGATGGGTTTTGTGGATATTATAGTAATTTCAGTAGTTTAGATCATGAGTCAGTTGAAGCCAGATCACCATAGGAAACCTCGAAGCAGTGAACGGCCATTTCGTCTTAGTTTGGGACTCCTCAGCAGTGCGTAGCCATCACCTTGCCCCTGCGAGATTCGAACCCAGGACCTACTGGTTTCGCAGGTGAGCACTTAACCATTAGACCACTGAGCCGGTATCCAATGGTGTTAATAAATAACATCCAGCGCTTCCAGGTTTTCCATTGTAGTCCAGCTGCAACTAACTGATGATCTAAACCTTTGAAATTATAAAAATGTTTTGATGATTTCTCTATCATATTATTTTATATTCATGAGTAAACTTTCTCTGATTAATCGATTATTATTATCATTACCATAATCACTATGATTACAATCATGAGTACACTTTTCACTTTTAACATTATTCATACTATACATATACACTATATATATGAATAACCATAAATTAGATCTTAAATGTAAACTAATCACCATATGATACTTAATATTGATTGAATTCTCTAATCAATAAGTTTTATTCGTACTTTCCTGTAAAACAAAGAAAAAAAAATCAATATTGTTCTTCTATTCGAATTATTGATTCAATTTTATGATCAAGTGTAATTATTTTAAAAAACTGAATAATCATAATTTATTGATTATCAATAACTTATAGATAATATTAATGGTTAATTATAGTAGGAAAGAATAATGTGTATATGTTGACTTGTAGCTAAGGTTCATGTTATTGAAATGAATGTCAATGATTTTTTATTATATGTAATAGATATATACAAGTTCGGTTGGAGCCCCTCTTGAGCTAATGCTGATCCCAACCCCAGATAAAGAGGAAGAGGGTTACATATGAGGTAAGCGACCTCATTTCATCTCTCTAAAATAACGCTAACCAGAAAAACAAATAATTCAAACCAACAGATATATATACGTAAACTAAACCATAGACTAGATGAGATTCGATAAAAATACTCAAAAGATACATTTGAGTCAATTTGATATTGATGTAGATGTAAATATAAGTGATCAGTTCAAGATAGGAAGACATCTGTACTTTGGACCCTTTTAATGGAAAGAGTTGAAAATATAACGGAGAAAAATAATCAGATTGCTAAATGTTTAAATTATGACCAATTAAATAGAGTTAACAACACAACTTAATACCATGGAATGAATGAATGGACCATTCATTTAACCGTATTCATGTACTCAAAACACTTAAGTATAAAGATGGATGATATTATGCTTTATTGAATTATGTTATTTTTGATAAGTTATTCATTGCGTACAATAACGATGGGATCCAATTCAATTAAAATGAATATCACGCAACAACAAATGCAGGAAAAGACGAACAGTGTAGCAGCAGTCTCAGCAGCAGTAGGTCTCAATATACACAAACGGAAAAGCAAGATTCTCCAATACAACACAGCATGCACCAACCCAATCACAATTGACGGAGAAGATTTGGAAGATGTAAAAACCTTTACATATTTGGACAGCATCATTGATGAACACGGTGGATCTGATGCAGATGTGAAGGCGCGGATCGGTAAAGCAAGAGCAGTATATTTACAAGTGAAGAACATCTGGAATTCAAAGCAACTGTCAACCAACACCAAGGTCAGGATTTTCAATAAAAATATCAAGACAGTTCTACTGTATAGGGCGGAAACCTGGAGAACTACGAAAGCCATCATCGAGAAAATACAGGCGTTTATTAACAGTTGCCTACGCAAAATACTTCGAATCCGTTGGCCAGACAATATTAGCAACAACCTGTTGTGGGAGAGAACGAACCAGATCCTAGCGGACGAAGAAATCAGGACGAAGCACTGGAAATGGATAGGACACACATTGAGGAAAGCACCCAACTACGTCACAAGACAAGCCCTCATATGGAATCCGGAAGTTCAAAGGAGAAGAGGAAGACCAAAGAACACATTACGTCGGGAAATGGAGATAGACATGAGAAGAATGAACAAGAATTGGATGGAACCAGAAAAGAAGGCCCAGTACAGAGTGGGTTGTCGAATGCTGGTCTGCGGCCTATGCTCCATCAGGAGTAACGGGCGTAAGGAATTAAGTGAATATTATACTATTTGAAACATAATAAACACGCGCGAGTTACCAATGGATCGTTTGATCTTTACTGTTAAGTGAACTGAACTTAATACCTTGAGATAAAGCTACTAATCCAAGAGAGTCAAAATTGATTGTACTATGTTCAAACACGAAGTAGTCAGAAGCAATTGATAGTACATTCCAGTTTATTTTCTTTTTGCTACTTACCGTTTGTTAACTGACTCAAAATGTTCAGAGAGTATCATTTCCTTTACAATGACTAATATCTGTCGTTAATAAATACGAACTAATACAAAACTTAGTTCAAGGGCTTCATATTCGTTACCTATGACCTAATAGTTGATAAAGCTAAAAGATTCATAAATCAACTATTCAGTAAATAACACTTATGTTTAAAAATTATCGATAAAATTCACTGACCCTTGAAAACAGTCATTCAATATTACTAGTTTTCACTTTAAGGATTGTGGAGATTGTTAAATTTTTTTGATTGAAATCATGAACCGATTGATGTTAGACCACCATAGAAAACCTGGAAGCACTGGATGGCCGTTTCGTCTTATTGTGGGTCTAACATCAGTCGGTTCATGATCTCAATGAAAAACTTAACAGTCTTTACAGGCCCTAAAGTGATAATCATCATGTGCTCACTAGTGACTAGCTTCATGAGAAAATTCTCGGAGTTCTGGTGAGAAGTCGCAACCAGTGGAGTTAATCTTTGTCGGGTAGGAACAGAGGTCTACCTCAGTACAGTGGAAGATGGTCGCGCAACTTCTTGGATTGGTCAAGGTTAGACATTAACACCATTAGATGCCGGCCGGCTCACTGGTTCAGTAGGTTAAGCGTTTGCACGCGTGATTGAAGGCCCTGGGTTCGAGTCCCTTGAGGGGGATCGTGGATGCGCACTGCTAAGGAGTCTCACAATAGGATGAAACGACCATCCAGTGCTTCCAGGTTTTCAGTGGTGATCTAACATCAATCGGTTCATGATCTCAATCAATTAATAACTTTATTATAGATTACTCGCACCATCCTGATAAGAGATCTAAACTCCAAAGTCGTAATGAATAACACCGGATATGAAGATAACATAAGACGACATGAACTAGAAGAGAGAAACAAAAATGGGAAGAGATTTGCAAATCTCTATGCGGATTTAACATATTGATTATAGGCAATACAATATACCCAAAATAAACACATATACAAACCTAAATAGATCACACCGGAACACATAACCAAGAACCATATAGATCATATCTTGATATCGATAAAAAAAAATTCACAAAGTCAATGAAAAAAAAACATAAAAACTAGAAGAGGAGTTGATCTTAACTTCAGATTATTATCTGGTTATGTCGAAGATAAAGAACCATGGAACAATTTAGAGAAACAGTCTCTCTACAAGATTTGAACAAACATTTAGCTTCAATGAATTCATAATCTTAATCATAATAAATGATGATAAAATAGAATTTAATATTAACTTACAAGAGAATGTATTCCCCATTTCTAATTAGAATCTAATAGATTTTCACTTCATTCTATTTTGATGTTTATTTTTGTCATGTTTAATTAAAGCAATTTGTTTATCATCTAATTCTTCATCATCAAATGAATATGGAGTTTTTGTTGTTTGTTTCTTCTTTTAAATCAGTGAAATCAATTCTCTTATAGAGAAATACAATACAAACCACAATGAAACAATGATCAATCAACTAGAACACAATACAAATGAACCATACTTTATGGAATTTACATTACAAATGATATCCAATTAAATCTTAGTTACTTTTTATAAAGAAAAGTGTAAAAAATGAAATCGATTTTTTTCAATATATATATATATATATATATATATATATGTGCGTGTATGTGTGTGCGTGTGTGTATCAATCTGATAAAAGTGCTATACTAACCAATTGATTGATTATCAGTATTGGTAATAAGTTCAAGTGAATGGAAATGTTGAAGTCAAACATTGAAGTAACTATAAACATGTTTCATCTTCTATACAAAAAGATTTAGGGAGAGGAACAAGTGTTGATATACTGGAAAGAAGGACATCTCATCAAGATTCCAAAGAGAGGAGATCTGAGCAAATGTGAAAACTACAGAGGTATTACACTATTGTCAATACCAGGGAAAGTCTTCAACAGATTGTTACTAGACTGAATGAAAGACTCAGTAGACGCCCAACTTCGAGATCAACAAGCTGGATTCCGTAAACATCAATGGTGCAAAGACCAAATTGAGTGGAACTCGTCACTGCACATCAACTTCATTGACAATGAGAAGGCGTTCGACAGTGTAGATAGAAGAACATTATGGAAAATTCTTCGACACTACGGAGTTTCTCAGAAGATTGTCAATATTATCCGGAACTCATACGACGGACTACAGTGCAAAGTAGTGCATGGAGGACAGCTGACAGATGCATTCCAAGTAAGGACCGGAGTCAGACAAGGCTGTTTACTCTCTCCATTCCTCTTTCTTCTGGTGGTCGACTGGATTATGAAGACCTCGACATCTGAAGGAAAACACGGAATACAATGGACAGCTCAGAACCAATTAGACGATCTGGACTTCGCAGATGACCTAGCCCTCCTATCACGTACACGTGAACAGATTCAGATAAAGACAGCCAATGTAGCAGCAGTCTCTGCATCAGTAGGCCTCAACATACACAAGGGGAAAACCAAAGGAAGAACAGCAATCCAATCACTCTTGATGATGAAACACTGGAAGATGTGGAATCCTTCACATACCTGGTCAGCAGCATCATCGATGAACAAGGAGGTTCAGATGCAGACGTAAAGGCAAGGATTGACAAATCACTATTGAACAATATATGCAACTCAAAACAACAGTCTATCAACCAATATCAAAGTCATAATCTTCAATACGAACGTCAAAACAGTTGGTTCTACCGTACGGAGCTGAAACTTGGAGAACTACTACAACCATCATCAAGAAGGTACAAGTATTTATAAATAGCTGTCTACGCAAGATACTCAACATCCAATGGCCGGATACTATCAGCAACAGCCTTCTGTGGGAAAGAACAAACCAGCTTTGAGCTGAAGAAGAAATTAGGAAAAGACGACGGGAATGGATGGGACATTCATTACGCAAATCAACAAACTGCATCTTGAGGCAATCGCCAACTTGGAATCCTGAAGGGAAGAGGAAAAGAGGAAGGCCGAAGAACACATTACGTCGGATAATAGAGGCAGATATGAAAAGGATGAATAACAACTGGAAGGAGCTGGAAAGGATTACCCAGGACAGGGTTGGATGGAGAATACTGGTGAGCGGCCTATGTTTTTTCACGAGGAGTAACAGGAGTATATAAGTAAGTAAGTATTGAAATTTTCTAAGTAAATAACTTTCAATTACAAACTAATATTTTCCCTTTTCCAATTTATTTTAAAATTTGTTTCCATGATAACATTATTTGTAAATTCTGTAGGTATATGTATTTCCAAAATTATTTGTGTTATTCACTTTGTGCTGTTTTACTTGTATCTCCCCATTGTTCTTTAAGACTGAAATTCATCAGTTTCTTGTTGACATATGTACATCCGGTAGGACTATAATTTATGGGCGACTTTTGAACGACGCTGAGGTGACCTTCAGTATGTCCACCTAACATCCAGGATCAAATGAGGGTTATAAACGAGTGTGAGAAATTGAAATTCAGATTTACAGTTGATGGTTAGGGTTAGGAATTGGATTCAGGGTTTTCATGACACACTGACATCAGCTATAATGCCGAGACGCTATTTAGCCAAATGGATGGGTGAATTTCACGCCAAAATCCGAGACCTGTTATCTTATATGTGATTGGTTCGTCCATAAATTATAGCCACGTCGTGCATCCTGTGCTGACTACATCGATATTGCCTTAAGTCACAAACTCTGTAAGCAAAGATGGATAGTGGTTAGCAGTGGAATCCAGTTTGACGCGCGTTTCGTCCTATTTGGGACTCGTCAGCTGGATATACCTACATCTCAGAGTTGATGTTCATTCTAGGACTGAGTTGTGTTCTTATGGCCAGTTAATTCTCACGTGATGCGATCACGAAATAGAACACTGACATACTGACCAGGTCAATGATGCATAAACCCGTATGAGGAGTCCAGAGTCAATTGGAGCACCGAGATTGTAGCTTCTCTCTTAACCCAGCCGGCTTAGTCTGAAGTACTAATATCAGCATCCGATATACGAATCATGTATATCACACATACTAGGTTTATTTATTAACAAAGCAGACCGCACCATACCGTAAAACAGAAAATAACAATTATACAAGATCAAGCCAAAAAGTGGATATGTTTGTGAGAGATTGTTACAAATAAATTGAGAATACCTTAAGAATAATGAATCGTATAATAATAGTCAATAGATCAAATAAAAGCTCATAACAAAAAGAACATGAATACACATATAATATGGTTACCTAATAGTCATGCAAAACTTACTACATACTTACTTACTTACATACGCCTGTTACTTATCGTGGAAGATCATAGGCCACTCACCACCATTCTCTATCCAACCCTGTCCTGAACAATCATTTCCAGCTCCTTTCAGTTGTTATCCATCCTTTTCATATCTGCTTTTATTTCCTGACCTAATGTCTACTTCGGCCTTCCCCTTTTCCGCTTCCCTTCACGATTCCAAGTTGGCGATTAACTTGTGATGCAGTTTGGTGATTTGCGTAATGTATGTCCGATCCATTTCTGTCGTCTCCTCCTAACTTATTTCTCTTCTGGAAGCTGGTTTGTTCTCTCCCACAGAAGGCTGTTCCTGATGGTATCCACCAATGAATGATGAGTATCTTGCGTAAAAAACTATTTATGAATACTTGTATACTTGTATATAACTCAGGTAGCGAACCCTACTCAGTCATACCGTATACAATTCCAAATTTCGGATGTAACATTCTGGTTAGCGTTTTTTTAGCGAGTTAGTTTTCTACTGGATGGGGTCGCTAACCCCATGCTCAACCCTCCTCCTTTGCCGTGGCTTGGGACCGACAGTAACTCAAGAAGAGCTACAGGCGGAATTAGTCATAAAATTAGAATATATATAATAATAGTCCACAAATAGATCCTAGAGGTTACTATTCACTTATTCTTCGTCCGAATATAAGAATTTGTTGTGACGTTCTCGGAGAAAAACTTAAAGTGGGTTTTCTCTAAAGATTAATATCATTTGAGGAAGATCAAGAACACCGGATAGTTGTTTTATCCTGCTTTAGTCATTTTAGCAGTACGCAACTAGACTCAGAACTTTGAAGTTATATGATAAGAGAGCGTTTCTTATACACCAGGGAGTGTTTGAATCTATGGATGTAAATTTTCAGTTGGAAACATCTTGACAATCGTTAATTTCATAACTATTTTTATTGATACATTCATTTAAAACAAAACTCACTTTTAATCTTAATTAGTTAATTCACATCATTCAATTTATTATATATACGTCGGTTACTGAAATGAAATGATATTCTGGAAATAATTAAAACAACTATGACAATTCACTTGGTATTGTTTGGCTTGTATCTTCCCATTGAGGTTTAAGACTTCAATTGATCAATCTGTTATTGGCATATGTGCATACTGTGCGTATGCCTCGATATTGCCTTAATTCACAAGCTTTTTGTAAGCAGTGATGGATATTAGCTAGAAGTAGAATCCAGGACGTGCGATTCGTCCTAATTGGGACTCGTCAGCTGGATGTACCTGCGTCTCAGAGTTGATGTCCACTCTGGGACACGAACCCAGTACCATCCGCTTAAAACGCTACGCGTTATCCACTCAGCTACTGAGTCCTGATAGCCACTATGACAATTTACAGGCATGATCAGTTTCATACAGAAAGCAATATTACATGTAAAGAACATGTCTGTGACGTATTTTTGTGTGACTATAAATATCGATTCACGCTTGGTGAAACTGGTGTTCGTTCACACGCCATATCCACTGTACGTCATTTCACTTCAATCTCTTCACTTCTGCAATTTTCTACCTGGATCAACGATTGTATGAAATATACGTATTCGAAATTCATTCTCATATTTAACTTATTTAAATCCGTTATACACCAACGCAAGTGAAGTCGATAATTTTATACGAGAATTGACAATATGTATATTTCAAGAACAATCATCATACGATCTAACTGGATTCAGATTTAAAACTACTAAAGGTTCACAAATTGTTTTGATGGAACTTTTGCCACAAACACTACAACAAGGTGAATCAGTGACTCCTTATCGTCAAATCAAACAGTTTCATTCTAAACCGTGTATCTATATGAATAAATTTACTAGTAAATTTAAAGACTGAAATAATGACAGGTAATTTGTCTTTAAGCGCCGTAACTTGGAATCCTGAAGGGAAGAGGAAAAGAGGAAGGCCGAAGAACACATTACGTCGGATAATAGAGGCAGATATGAAAAGGATGAATAACAACTGGAAGGAGCTGGAAAGGATTGTTCAGGACAGGGTTGGATGGAGAATGCTGGTGAGCGACCTATGCTCCTTCACGAGGATTAACAGGCGTAAGTAAGTAAGTAAATAATCTGTCTTTAAAATTACAATCATCATTTGTTTACTATATCGATGATCATTGCTTCATTGATTCTGTTTTAAGAGCACCTACACTAATAACTACAATCCATTTCACTAGTAAAATCATAAGAACATTAAATTTCCAATCATTGTTATTATTGAGCTCACTTATTATAC